GAATATATACGTGAATATATTAGTGTTTTTAGGGGGAAATAAAGCCATGATTTGCTTCGAAAATAAAAATCTACTGAGATTCAAACATAAAATAAAATGCAAAAAAAGAAGAAAAATAAATAAAAAATAAATAAAATAAATAAATTTGTTCGAATATAAAAAAATAACAGAGAAGAAAACCTTCAAACTGGTTGTTTATTGCGTCTGAACCAAGTGTTACAATGTTTTTTTGGAGGATTTTCCATCCTTTGTTATAGATTAATTCTTCGGTTAAATACCCAATTACATCTGAAAATAAATAATTCCTATTTTGTTTCTTGTTTCTTGTTTTGTAGGGGTTTGGCGTGTGTGCATTGGGTAGCTGGGATTAGGGCAGAATCGGGGTAGCCTTCGGTTGGGGCAGGAAGAGGTGGAAGCTGGTTGGGTGCAGTGGGCGGCTGCCCGCTAGGTATGGTGTAAATGCGGGTTTGGGCTATTTTGTAAAAGGGGTTTTGGGTTATATTTAGTTGGGTTTGGTTTGTAAATAAAATGGTGCTCACAATAAGTTTTGGTCACTTACATTATCATTTTATTAATTTTTGGTCACTTGAATGTTGAATGTCGTTACGATGTGATGTGGCACATTAATAAAATGTTTTAATCTTTATTTTAACTTCCGAGTTTTAGATAAAATACTAATTATGAGCCTTTTTGTAAATTTAAAACAACATAGAGACAAGTTTTTAATTTATCTTTTTTAATATGTTTTTCTTCATCTTTGCCTAAACTCTAACCCCTTGTGTTGGCTCTCTATTCATCTTCTTCGTCATCGATCATCTATGTTCAACTTTCAAGCATCCTTTATGAATATATAAAATAATCTAATATGGTCCACCTCGAATCCGAAAGATTAAGTGTCACGCAAAACCATCAAAGTGATTAATCATTTTTAAACCATTTACTCAATATAATAGTCATAACCATAATAATAAATAAAATCATATGTTTAATAACCACAAGCATTAAGTTTTGAAGGGGAGGTCCAAACATTACATCCCAAAACATAATAATAAATATATCAAAACAGAGTTATGACTCAAATATACATAAAATCAATGAATAATACATGCCATATGAAAATATCCAAGACATATTCTAATAGCTCAATCAAATATGAAATCTCGAATCCAATGATAAGCTCATCGAATGTCCACCTAAGAACATATGGACGGAAACACATTTCAAACTTTGAACTAACGAGCTTAGTGTCTCACAAATAACTCTATTATACTACATGTATTCATCATATTAGCATGCCAACAAGTGTAGTTGTTAACAATATAGATGCATCACACATACAAAGCAAAACTAAGCATCATGATTAGTCTGAGGTCGTATCAGCATCACGAGACTCGCACTCCTCTAGGTTATGATAAAGTTACTCTAGATAAGATCTAGGTCACATAGCATCATCATCTAACACGTGAGTAGTCTATTTCTCTAGAGTATTCTAGATAAGATTGGGTAACCTGAACATTGGAGTAACATCCGACTAGCATTATATATAACATAATATTAATTTGGATGTATTTGAATATTTATCATACAAACAAGACGATTTTCATGCACAAGTAACTCGGGTGTCCTTATCATTTTCCGAGTGTTAAACAAAGGCATAAGTCTAATAGAATCTTACCTCATAGTATTATTATGTTTAATCGCATACATTTAATCAATGTTTCCACTTTCAAGCTTTTAATAGTGGTCAAGACATCTCTAAACTTCTTACTCGAGTCTTTCATTGAAACAAAGTTTTCTAACTATTCCTCCAAGATGGTATGGATACCTACCTTTGGGTATTGATACCAAACCTAAGGTATCAATACTTACCCTAAGTATCGATACCAAAAAACACCTTAAAGTTCAATTTAATACCCATGGTATCGATTCTTCCACACAAGTATCAATACTACCCTTCAGGTGTATCAATAACAAAATAGCTCTCAAAGTTTATCAAAATAAACCTAGTATCAATACCCTTATCCAGAGTATTGATACTCACCTGATGGTACCAATACCAACCCTAAGTATCAATATCAATTTAAGCCCTAAAGTTTGAAAATAAACCATGTATTAATATCACTACCTTTGGTATCGATACTCGACGTACATTATTTATACCTCAAGAACATTGTATCGATACTATCCAACTACATCTCAAATCTTGACCCTCGTATGAACAATATCAATACTAAATCATTCAGTATCATTACTCAAGCACACATTATGCTACACACATTCATACAAGCAAACAAGCTACACATGTTGATCTACAAGTGTTATAGTTGAGTTAGAAGTGTGACACATTACTCCAAAACAGCTAGAATCCCTCTTAGCTTAACCAATCATAAACTTTTCATTGTTATTATCTTTAAAGCTTTGTCCCACTTCTCTCACTAATCAACAAGCAAGAAACAAGTTATTAACTTATCTAGGAACTTGAAAAGAAGTCAAAGAAACTTCCTACATACTGAAATACAATCAAAATGGGTTGATTAAGTTAAGGGTTCTAAAACCTATTCTAAACCCTCACCATGGCCAAACTTATAGAAAGAGAGCTTGAATTGAAGCTTTAAGTGAGGAGATTATATTTTTTAACTTTGTAAACTTGGACTAGGAATGTTGGACAAAAAAGTTCTTACCTTTAATCAAGATACCGAGAAGAAAAGATATATTATAAAATGAAATATTTTTATTAATGTGTCACGTTATCAAACTAACGACATTTAACGTCTAAGTGACCAAAACTTAATAAAACGATAACATAAGGATTAAATTTAAAATTAACCTCAAATTAAAAATTACACTCTTTTTAAAATAATGTATCATGTCATCAAACTAACCACATTTAACGTTATATATTGATCAAAATGTTATAAATCGATAACACAACTACACAAGTGACAAAAAATTGTAAGTGACACGAATATTATTTTAGTCACTTACATTATCATTTTATTAAATTTTGGTCACTTGAACGTTGAATGTCGTTAGTATGTGATGTGACACATTAATAAAATGGTTTAATTTTTATTTTAACCTCCGGATTTTAGATAAAATACTAATTTGGACCTTTTTGTAAATCTAAAACAACTTAGAGACAAGTTTTTAATTTATCTTTTATAATATGTTTTTATTAATCTTTGTCGAAGCCCTAACCCCTTGTGTTAGCTCTCTCTTCATCTTCTTCGTCACCGATAATCTATGTTCGACTTTCAAGCATCCTTTATGAATATATAAAATAATCTAATATGGTCCGCCCCTGAATCCAAAAGATTAAGTGTCACGCCAAATTCTACACTACTTCTTTGGAATCGATGCTCGATTTCGCAACCAGCGTCTTCGAATCCAATGCCGATTTCAAGATCGTTGCGACGGAACATCATACGAAGTTGATGACACTTTTCCAAAACTATACCGTGTTAGAAACATCGGAATAGATACTGGCTCCGGTGATGGTGTCGTGTCACACCAAACCTACCCTTATGTCGTATTGTATTGCCATAGCCAGTTGACGGAGAACAGAGTTTTTAAGGTATCATTGAGTGGTAAGAATGGTGATCGGGTGACCGCGCTTGCTGTTGTCACATGGATACTTTGCAATGGAACCGAAACCATGTGTCGTTTCGCGTGCTGGGGATCAAACCTGGGACACTTCCTGTCTGCCTTTTTTTCCCGGCGGACAACTTTGTTCTTGTTCCGGACACTTGAATTTTAAATACTTGTGTTTGTTGCGAGACATGTGTTGTCTCGAGTAATAAAAACTTTATAGAAGATAGATTAAATTATTTTTGTTTTGATGTTCCAATTATTTTTTCTTTAAAATTATATTTAATGTTATGTTTTGTTTTTATTTTAGTCACCTACCATTTAGTTTGGTAGTTAAATTAATGAAAACAATGATATCTCATGGTTTAATAATAGTTTTAGTCCTCAAAATTTGCACAGTGTATTAAATTAGTCATAATTTAAAATAATTCAATAGATCACTTTTGTCGTTAAAATTTTGACTTTCTGTCAAATTTTGGCCACGGTCTCGTTAAAATTTTGCTAAAACCCCTTTCGAATTGAAGTTACAATATCTTCCATGGGTAATTCTAGTTGGCTTTCTGGAACGAGAACTTGGAAATTTACTGAATGCAGAGTGATGCTTTATTCGGTTACATGCATGCACCACGAGTCATGGTTTTCGTAAATCCGCCATCAAGTATTAATAAATTAAATCCCACATCAAGCATTAAAAAATTAAAAAAATATTTTAAATTAAAATATGAATCAAATTAATAGGATTTTGAAATATTGAGATTTTATTGAATTATTTCAAATTATAATGAATTTAATAGAATATGTGAGTTTTGATGAATAATATTGTTATTATACTATGCCATAACATCATTTTCGTTATAGTCAAATCGAACATTGGGAGACAAAAACAGAAACGAAACGTAGTGTTAGAAATGGTTGTGAAAAAAAAAGTTGAGTGACCAAAACAAAAACATTCTCACACCAAAACAATCCCAAATCAATACCAATAATCAACTAAAACCAAATAAAAATGAGAAAGGGAGCGATTGGAGTTCATTACCAATGGTGACTGGAGAAAAACACGACGACAGGGACACTGCCAATTGGGCCCTAACTGCGACTGAATGGGGAGCTCAATGGTGAGGGTGGTGTAATTCAACGGGGACGTAATCGACGTAAATTTAAAGAAATCGAAGGCGGTGGCTTGGTTTCCCATCGAACGCTTCAAACGTCGATTCTCAACAAATGTCAACATATCAAGGCAAGGGACAATGGGGGTTTTGATCGCACGGCACCGATAGTCCCAACGGCGATGGTGGTGCACGACACTGCCGACCAGAGCTTAAACGACGATGAGGGAAGTGGTTTTGGATGAGGAGACCAATCCCTTACACGCACAATAAGATAACTGAACCACTCCAGCCCTAACCCGATTATCACCTAGCTTTAAAGATAGCATCCCTAGATAAACTATCAGTAGTCAGCCAATCAGCCAATGATCCACAAGAACTCGACTCACCTTTAAAATCAACCAACTTAATAATGTTAATCCGATCATCCATAACCCGAAAGATCAATCCTAGAGTCTCAATAATCTGATCATTAATTACTACAAAATCACGATTTAGATCAATATCAAGTTTTATGTTTGTATTATTTTCGTTAAAACGAATATATATTGCATTTCCGACATTCAATTGAGGCGTTTCAAGATTGTTAAAAAGATAACTGAAAGACCATTCATACGTAAGACAACATCTCAGCCCAAAACTATATGAATATCATCCAAAAATTCATTGTAAGTCGCTTGATATTCACTTCAAAATCCACTTTAATTTCTTATTCAAAATTATTTTTATTTATTTTAAGTTAAATCTCAAAAATAAACATGAATACGTGTGTGAAGATCAAACGTCATCCCCGATAGGTCCCCAGAAATCTCTCTGGCTTACCCGGGTTAACTATAATCGTACCCATTCAACATGAGACGTATACCCAAGTTATACTTCTACTTATGTCCGTCTTGTACTCATCTCTGAGACGTATTAAGTACTTAAAATGGTATCAGATTACCATACCCGTGTAACATAGTTTAATTTAATAAAAAATTAAAATTAAAAATCAAAATCAAAATATTATTTAAAAAATTGAGTGCAAAAGATGAATATGTTTTTTAAATTAATGATTTTCTTTACTTTTCTTTTTGTCACTTTTACACAGAGCTTACGTCCAAATGAAATAATTTTTCATCAATTTGGAAATATAAATAGGAGACAATGCTTCACCCATCTTCAATTATTGATCTTTCTGGCCATATATATATATATATATACAACACATATATTATTTTGATTGCATAAGATTCTTCTTCCTTGAAAGCCCAATATTTTATTAAACGATTACTTCTCTTTTGATGAACATAGTCTTCAAGTTGAACCTGAAAGTCGACAACAAACTTCTTTAATTCACAATCTCTGCAAATCAACTATAGATTGATCCAATTTAAAATCCGTCTCAAAAGATTTATCTATTTCTACATGTACTTAAACTTACCAATTTTCTTCGGATGGTAGAAAAAAGGAATTGGATTTATAACATATTCTTTTCCTGCATTGTCCATTTCCTGGCCATCTATTTATAAGAGATCAAATAAAAGAACCATAAACCGATCAAAATTTAAATTCGTAACAAAAGATTTATCCATTTCTACATGTTACTGAAACTTACCAATTTTCTTCGGATGGTAGAAAAAGGAATTGGGTTTATAACAAATTCTTTTTCTGCATTATCTATTTCCTGATCATCTATTTATAAGAGATAAAATAAAAGAATTATAGACCGATCAAAATTATTTAAATTTGTAACAAAAGATTTATCCATTTCTACATGTTACTGAAAATTACCAACTTTCTTCGGATGGTAAAAAAAAGGAATTGGGTTTATGACATTTTTTTCCTGCATTGTCCATTTCCTGACCATCTATTTATAAGAGATAAAATAAAAGAGTTATAGACCGATCAAAATTTAAATTTATAACAAAAGATTTATCCATTTCTACATGTTACTGAAACTTACCAACTTTCTTCGTATGGTAGAAAAAAGGAATTGGGTTTATAACATATTCTTTTCCTGCATTGCCCATTTCCTGACCATCTATTTATAAGAGATAAAATAAAAGAATTATAGACCAATCAAAATTTCAATTTGTAACAAGATTTTTCCATTTCTACATGTTACTGAAACTTACCAACTTTCTTCGGATGGTAAAAAAAAGGAATTGGGTTTTTGACATATTCTTTTCCTGCATTGTCCATTTTCTGACCATCTTTTTATAAGAGATAAAATAAAAGAATTATAAACCGATCAAAATTTAAATTTGTAACAAAAGATTTATCCATTTCTACATGTTACTGAAACTTACCAACTTTCTTCGGATGGTAGAAAAAAGGAATTGAGTTTATAACATATTCTTTTCCTGCATTGATCATTTCCTGACCATCTATTTATAAGAGATAAAATAAAATAATTGTAGACTGATCAAAATTTAAATTTGTAGCAAAATATTTATCCATTTCTATATGTTACTGAAACTTACCAACTTTCTTCGGATGGTAGAAAAAATGAATTGGGTTTATAACATATTTTTTTCTTGTATTATCCATTTTCTGACCATCTTTTTATAAGAGATAAAATAAAATAATTATAAACCGATCAAAATTTAATTTCTTAACAAAAGATTTATCCATTTTTAATTGTTACTAACTTACCAACTTTCTTTGGATAGTAGATAGCAGGAATTGGGTTTATAACATACTGTTGTTTTGCTTCTTTAGTTGTTTCTGTCTGAAACTTTTCCTTCGTTTCATCATTATATCCCTCGCCTGGCCCTTTTCTTGCTGCGATTGTGTTAGAAAACTGCATAATAATTAAGCAATTGAGAGTTTTTAATCATGAGTTTTATCAATATTTGATATTGTAATTATTTTACTTTAATTTTGACTAAATTTGTATTCATTTTAAAAATTAGATATTTAGATGTTACGTTGTACGTGGATAGTATAGTAATTTAAATTTAACTTTTTATTTATCAAATACTATTTTGTATTAATTTAACTATTTTATCATAAAAAGTACATATTTTATTAAATGAGTCAAAGTAAAAAAATTAAAACTCAACAAGGATCTCACTAGTAAAAGAAAAAAATTATCATTTTCTGAGGTCCTAGATTTGATAAGCATGTACATCCTATAGATGCAACTATTCGAAGTCAGGATCTCTAGGGAGAATAACAATCATTTTTACTTAGTAATGGGCATGGGTCGGGTTAGGTTTTCGACCAACCCAATACGACCCAAAAAAGTATGCACTCACTACCCGAAATCTGACCCGACTTGAGTTTAAGGTGATTTCACCCGACCCGAAATAAATATATTTATAAAAATTATTAATTTTATTTGATATAATAGGAATCTAATTGAAAAAATATATATAGAGATATATTATTATAATTATCCCTAAATATATAAGATATGATTAAATTATTTTTATAATAAGATATTGTTCACAATAAATTTGAACTCGATCTGATCTGAACTTATTTTTTTTTTTAAATCTGACCCAACAAAATCGAGTCAAGACTAAACATGTTAAATTCGAATCTCGTACCAATCCCTATTTTTATAACTAAAACCACTACATGGATTATTAATTACTTGTTTTTCAAACATAAATGCTTAAGGAATGTAAAGAAAATAATGAGGAAAAAGAAAATGTACCAAAAGTATGCAGAGGAAAAAAAATTATATTATATTTTAAATAAGTGTCACCTAACCAATATTAAATAGCAAATTGTAGATATTATATTTTAATTGAACAAAAAGATAAGTAAGAGTCACGTTCGATTATATTATTAGGAAAAAAATTAAATAATCGAATAAATATTTCTATGATGTTTATAATTTTAATTGGTTATGATGACTCCTCTGAACGGGCTATTGACACTGGTGGCGAATTACAGAGTTTTCAAGGAAGAAAAAGAAGAAATGATAAATTATTTTTTTATGAAAAATTAGAAAATTTTTAAGAGAAAGAGATTATTTGATTTAAGTCTCTAATTAAATTAATATTTATATTCATTAATTTTTTAATTTATATTTTTAAATTTGTTAATATGAAATAATAGAGTACAATGATGATGATTCAGTGAATATATAGAGATTATGTTTTTCATATTTGATTAATTATTTTAAAATGTTGAATAAATGGTTTTAAAAGAAAAAAATTAATCCCTTTGATAAACCGTGTGACACTTAAATCAAATATGGTTTAAGGGATCAGTTAAGGTACAAAGAAGCTGGAATATAGGATGAGAGGAGAGAAAATGGGTTTAGATATGTGGATGGATGTTCTCTTATTGTATGGATATGGGTCTTGACAAACGGATTTTGGGCCTAAATTTTTTTGACAAGACAATATGTTAATACAAGATTGATAAAGTGGAGGAGGACCGAGATCTCCATTTTGAAGTCAAAAGAGAATTACTGGTAAACATTTATGCACATAAGAAAGCCATGCATTACATTTAGATACATATCTATTGAATTCACATTTCAAGCATCAAAGCATATTTTTACAGATTTTTCAAGAAAATAAGAGAAGAAAAAGACAGAATTCAAGCCTCGAATAGAGGGATTTTTGTTCAAAGTGACTAAGCATCAAGGATTGAGGAGTCCAGTAAAGAAGAATCATTACTTCGATGTGGGGGCACATTACCCAAACGACATGATGTTTTCAAAAGAATTTTTAAAGAAACTAAGCCTGATTTTTAGGGGTTTCTTGATGATGATTTCCAATGAATTTTTATAATAAGCTAAGCCTAATTTTTAGGGGTTTCTTGATATTTTCAAATGACTTTTTAGAAACTAAGTCTGATTTTCAAAGGTTTCATGATGATTATTTCCAAATAATTTTTAAAGAAGCTAAACCTAATTTTTAGGGGATTCTTTATGATAATTGTAAACGAAATATTTTAAGAAACTAAGCTTGATTTTCAAGGGTTTCTTAATGAGTAAGTCCTTCGGGCCATCAGTAAGTCTTTCGAGCATGATGCTTAAATCCTTCGGGTCATCTATAAGTCTTTCGAGCAAGATGATAAGTCCTTCGGACCATCCATAAGACCTTCAGGCAGGATATTTTCAACATTTCCTTTGCTCAATTCACAACACTTCGAATCAGCAACGCCCCACCAGAGGGGTTAACATTTCCTATTACTCGATTCACAACACTTCGAATCAGCTTAAGTCATTCGGGCCATCAGTAAGTCTTTCGAGCATGATGATTAAATCCTTCGGGTCATCTATAAGTCTTTCGAGCAAGATGATAAGTCCATCAGGCCATCCAAAAGACCTTCGGGTAGGGTGTTTCCAACATTTCCTTTGCTCGATTCACAACACTTCGAATCAGTAACGCCCAACCAGAGGAGTTCAGATTTCCTTTTCTTGATTCACAACACTTCGAATCAGCAACGCATCACTCAATGGATCAACATTTCTAGTGGAAAGATCATGATGAGAAGAACCCGTAGCTTGAAGAAGGAGACTCAACCAAGAGAACGAAGCAAGATGACATCATTTGTAGTAAGGACTCGACGATTCCAGAGAAAGAGAATAATTGAAATTCCCAACGAAGAGTTCACAGCTTGACAATAAGAGACCACGTTGAAAAATGGTGCTTTGTGTCTTTGCTCTATTCCCGTTTTACAACAATGAGAAAAGAGGGGCAGTTGTAAGCACCATTTTTCTAATTCAACCAATAGACCCGGGCCTCAATCCAACCCATTACAAAACTTGGCCCAAACCGAAGTAAAACCTAAACCAGTGCCCAAGACCCAACCAGATCCAAACCCTACCAGAACCCAGATTTAATACCCGACCTAGGGCCCAAAACTAGACCTGACCCGGGTCTACCCTAACCCTAGGGTAGCCGCCTCATTCACCAATCAGCACCTGCCCTCCTCTTCCCTAATCCCAGTCGAGGCCTCCACGCACGCCACTTCTGCCAACACTCCACCTGCAGAAACAAGCAAGAAAAAAACAAAGTTTTGAATCATTTCATTATGTAAAAAATAAGTATAAAGACCCATGCATGTAACTGTAAAGGAAGAGGGGTCGAGCACATTGTAATTTTCTTTTTTCGAAGCAATAAAACCATAAGCATTCAAGGTTACTTTTTTTTGTTGTTTTAGTTCGAATCGCTTTTAGCCCTTTTATTTTTTTGTACTATTTTTGGTTCTAAATATCAGTAAAAAAGGGATAGTTTTTTATTTTCAAAATAAAACACTACCCTTTTTTCTAATTTTGTTTCTAATAATAACAACATTTTGAAAATGAAATAAAATAATAATAAAGTTTTTTTATCGAATAATCACCATAATAACCAGTTTCATAGTAAAAAAACTAAAAAAGGGGGGTTAAATCGGGGCTTACCTGAGTCATCATAGGTGTCACCGGAGTCGACGAAACCCGAAGGGTTTCGGGGGGTTTTCAGGTAGTTTCGGGTTGTTTTTAGGTGGTTTTAACCCCTAAAAAGGACCTAGCATTGTAGATATACATTTATGGAGCATTTTGGGTAAATTTGGGGTTTTTGATGGTCGGAGGTGGAGCGGTGGCCGATAGTGGGCCGGCCGAAACCAGGCAAGAGAGGGGAGAATCTCTCTCATTTTTTTTCTAAAAGCACGTTGCAAAAGAAAAAAAGCCAAAAGTTGTATTTATAAAATGTTTTAAGAGAAATTTACTTTTAGGCCCCCTAACAATTCGCGCGTTTTTGCATTCTTGTCATTGGAAGGGACTGATTTCATGATTTTACCATTTCTATCCATGCTTTATAATTTTTGGAATAATTTCCTTTTAGTCCCCTACTTTTAGCGTGTTTTTACACTTTAGTCATGTGTAGTGGCCTTTTAAATTTTTTAAAATTGAGTAGACTGATTTTGTAATTTTTCCTTTTAATTTAACAGATTATTTTTATGCTTAAATAAATGGTATAATTGCCTTTTAGTTCCTGTAACTTCTGTGTGTTTTTACATTTTAATCCCTAAATCTGTTTATTTTTATTTTATTTCGATTTAGCCTTCAAAATTTGATTTGTTTTAATTTAGTCCTATTTTATGTTTATTTTTTCCCATTTAGTTTAGTAATTTCACATATATGCAATTAGGTCCTTATTTTATGTTTATTTTATTTTTACTCTATGTTTTTACTACTTTTTTATTATTTTATATTTTTTATTAGGTTTATTAAATGTCTCAATATTTTATAGTTTAAATTCTTAAATTTAGTTTTATTTGGTTTAAATGATTGAATTGATAAAATCAATAAAATTATTGGATGAAATTGTCTAATTATTGTTACTCCCATAAAATGTGATAATACCTAAGAAAATAAGTGGTTGTAATATTATCTAAGAAAATAAGAGGTAATGAGATTACTATTGTATTCCTA